CACTGCACTGTCAAAACTGTCAGACAGAACTTGAGCAGTTTTTCAAAGCTAATTAAATTCCCATGTTGTATAACCCATCCAGATAATCTTTAACCCCAATTAAGGAATGGTGTTTGCTTCTGGTTCTGGAAATGAGAGGATTGAAAACTGAAAGGGGGGGGGGGTTCACTCACAGAGTTACAAGGCTGTAATACAGGGTTATAAATACAGTTTAGTCTGCAATCCATTTTCCCTACAACCGGCAGTGCCACCAGCTACACAGGTAAAGCAAGAGGCACCCATCCACCTTTTAACCCCTTTATCCAGTTCAGGGTCCGAGGGGAGCCGGTGCCTATCCCGACAAGCAACGGGTGAAAGGCAGGATCCAATCTAGACGGAATGCCAGTCCACTGCAGGGCAGACAGACACAAGCACACACACTCCCACCAGGCACGGTTATCCCAGAAGCCAATTAACCTACCAGTGGGTCTTTGGACTGCAGCAGAAAATGGGAGCACCTGGAGGAAACCCAAGCAAAATAAGGAGAACATGCAAACTCCACAGAGACAGCACCCCAGGTCTGGAACTGAACATAGGGCCCCAGCACTGCAAGGCAGCAAGGCTAATCAATGCTGGGTGGTGGGGTGGCACTGTGGCTCAGGATCTGCGCCCGTGGCTGGAAGGTTGCCAGTTCAACTCCCCTGGCTGGTAGAGGGATCCTACTTCGTTGGGCCCCTGAGCAAGGCCCTTAACCCCAGCTGCTCCAGGGGCGCCGTATAAATGGCTGACCCTGTGCTCTGACCCCAAGCTTCTCTCCCTGTCTGTGTGTCTCATGGAGACCAAGCTGGGAAATGAGAAAAGACAAATTCCTAATGCAAGAAATTGCATATGGCCAATAAAGTGATCTCTTAATCACTTTGCCACTGTGCCACACGGAACAGGAAGTGACACCTTTCAACCAACTGAACCTCCACTGCTGCTGATCTATTTTCCTGCAGATAAACTCTGCTTATCTTCCACTTAAACACCATATCACCATAAATCCGACTGTAGAAGAAAAGGGAAGCAAGGCACTCTATGGAAGTAATAATGCCTTCTGAAACAAAGAAAATGCTAATCATATTTGCAGGTGGATGCTGCACGTTGGTGGTGGTGGAGGGGAGTCCCCATTACCCATAAAGCACTTTAAATGGGGTGTCCAGAAAAGTCCTCTATAAGTGCAAGGAATTATTATTATTGTCTCATTATAACAGCCATATTTGTATTAATACGTTAACTGTGAAGAGGGAAGCACATTTGAACAATATTAGTATTAATTGCTTTTATATTAAGAAAATCCAAACAAGAACATTGTCAATTTATGTTTTTAGGCATAGAAAAACATGCTTTGTGCTGTTTCTTGCCAATGAATTTGTGTTCCACTGGACCAGACTGAACAGAGGCAGTCTGATGGATGGACTCTAATTAAGGTAATGAAAGTCACTGTACCAATAAACAAGGTCTTATCTTTGAGGTGGAAATAATGTACAGGCCTTCTCACACTTGGCAGTAAAAAAATCTGCCACCTGCTTGTACAGTTATGGGCCCATTTTCTAAATGGACAAATACACTTCGGTGCCCATACAGTATGTCAATATAAAGATGTTATGCAATTTAAAAATTTAAAAAATATATTGCAAGAGGTCAGCTCAGAATTGCCTTCCTACAGTATGTGCATTTGTCTGCTATGAAATGGTCAGTACAAACAGCAGTTACGAATGAGCTGTTCTGCATTTGCTTCAAGAAAAATTCACCTTTATCGTAATATTTCTAGCAAGGTCTACAACAGAAGAATCAGGCGGCTAATCTCTAAATGCGACTGAGTGGCATCAAGTGTTAACACTACAATTAGAAATACAAAAGCTCTTGAATGTCAAAGGTAAACATCACTCAGTATCACCCACCTACCTAACAAACACACACATGTTGAGACGCTTTTGTTCAGCGTGTGATATGCAGAATGCAATTTACACACCGCTTCTCATTATCAAGCCTACAGTATTGTCTCTGGGGTTTTTCCAGGACAAAAACCAAATCCCTCGTTTTCAGGAGGTGAGCCTCAGAAACCACATATATGACCCCCCTGGCGATCAAATGCAGGCCCAAGAGTCAAAGCCTGTCCACAGCCCATTTGTCTCCACCAAGGACACGAATGATTCGACGCTTTGTATTACACAACGCCGACTAATCTGTTGACATTGTACCGAGCTATCACAACCAAAACAATGGAGTGAATGGTGGAGAAAAAGTCAAGGATGAATGCAATGTAAAGTTTCCATTCAACTGCATAGCGGATATATCTACATCAGCAGAACAAAAGTCGATACTTTGTCTTCCCTTCTGAAATATTTGATTATGCCAAATATTTCACATCTACAGGCCTCAACTTTGGAATTAGCACCTTTTAGCTGTTGATTATTTCTAATTGCATTATACCTTTTAAAAATGTATTTTTAACTTGTCTGGGGTTCCTTTCAACTGATAACCTTTACCCTCTCAGTGTGGGTATCAGATTGGACAAATGTGTATTGAATCTCAAATTCTGAAACCCTTCATTCAGGTGGTTCTCCTTAGAGTGCTACACTTCTGAAACCCTCAAAGTAGTACAATCCCATAGTCTGTTCAACACTTAGTGCCTCTGATTTCTCTGAGTGCTTGTTGTAATTAGGTTTTTATAGGACTTAAATACGTGCTTTGAAGATAGACACTAATCCTCATCTTGGATTCTTCTCAGATCACAACTGAGTGATACCTTTATAAATGTTCTACAAATGAATAGTAAATATGTCCTTCTGCAATTGATATCTGCACATACATATCGATCCAAGAACATGAACCCAGGAACCTGCAATACAACGCTTGGGTACCCTGATCTCTCAAATAATGCACGTACTTCCGTTCCTTCGTCATTCAGTTAAAGTCAGCCCAGGAAGATGCTGAACTGAAAGTAGCTGATAACCACAGCGACGCACAAAGAGACTTCATCCCTACCAAACCACCAAAAAGAATCAGCCATACCAACTAACAAAGTAGTCACGTCTAACAGTTCATCTTTCAATTCAGCTGGGAATAAAGTTTCTAATTTCCTTAAAATCCAAGAGGCCAGTTTTGTATTTCTATGACACCATTGTTTACAAAATATACAGTCATGATGATGATGTTTTTTAAATCTTGTGAATTTTGCCTCATGTTTTTTCTTTACCCTTTGATAATGAATTTTATAAGTGGTTGCGTAAATCCACACTTGTGAGTATGACTAAGCAGTCTTCACCGAACATTCAGTGTAAACGATTACAGGAAAACTAGACATTCTGCAATATCTGAACAACTGCAATATGCGATTGAATATTTTCTTTTTACTGAAAAGAAAAAGTTGCTTTTTAAGAAATACTTTTTCTGCAATTAAGATTTAGATCGGTTAAGCAGTAACGCTAATACATTTGAATATCATAAGAACGGCTGTTTAAATTTACCATAATGTCATTAAGACCTCCTCTATGGTAGTAGCCTACAATGCAACACTTCAGTTTTGATAAACATTCACCGTTTTTACAATGTAAAACAGTAAACAAAAACATCAGTTGCAAAGAGAAACACGCAGGTTCTTAATACCGTAACCGGAGAAACTCCACAAAAAATAACGTAGTTATTTCTAGAATATACCAGCATAGAGCAGTAAGATTTAGAAATAACCTTCTGCAGAATATTTTACAGGCGTTGTTTGTGAGGAACTACGTCTTTATTTCAAGCAGAAAAAAACTAAGATCAGTCAGGAAACCAATACCACTAACTGGTACAACTGAAAATTAGTTATTCGATTTCTCAGAAAGTTGTTTTGCTCCAAATACACTACGTGAAATGTTTTAGGTGGAATTTAACGTCCTGTTAAAACCACTGTATGATGCACTGGGGTATCAAAAAGTTCGGTATATACAGCACTCTAAACAGGAATTAAACCGTTATCAAATTAAAAACAAAAATTAAAAGTAAATGGTGTGTTATGCGTTAAATAACCCGGTGTGTGCTGGGGATATAAAGATCTTCGTCTCCAGCACAACAGTGGTGCGTCTTCATCCATTAAACCTGCAAATTCGGACCCACGAAAGAACAGATTATTCTAACACGATCGTTTTTTCGTCCCGTCTTTCAGGACTAATTTTAATATTACGCCACGTTTAGTTTGTTTTCTAGTCCAATTTTTTTTTTCTCTCGTGAAAAATAAAACTCGCACGCACGAATCCATTGCAACATCGCGAATTTGATCGTACGTCACGTATTGTCGCCATTCGACTTCATTGAACACAGCGCGATTAACTACTGAACAATACCCACTGGGGGTAGATAAATTGTCCACGAAACGCCCATCCTAACCGGTCAACCATTTATTTATTTGGGTTCCTCTGTTGTAGACGCTTCTGTTTTTATTGCAACCAATAACGCGCGTGTGTGTGTGTGGAGGGGGGTACATATACCAATTTATTTTAAAGAAAGCAGCTCCAGCTGGTTTGTAAAAGAAGGCGCCCACCTCCCCCCCCACCAATAAATGTGCACTGCTTTCATTTGAGAAGGCAGGACCACCCGGGCGAAGAGGACTGAAAATGCGCGGATCGATTAATCGCCGTAGTGCACCGCCAGCCACCAAAGTCACGTTTCCTGGCGCACGTAGGCAGCGGCTCAGCCTCGCCGCTCTGCGTCATTCTCTACCTCGCCGTTTCCCAGCATTCAACCGGAAGCCTGGCTGCGCTCCTCTGGGCACCGGTACAATAGAGACAGTCTGCCCCGCATGGGTCGCAACATGTTCAACATTTGTGCTCCAAGGGCGCAAACCGCTCTGCTTTTATCTCGCCCAGTGACACGACACGGGGGTATACTAAGCCTAAAGGGAAGCATACTGGTCCACATTGTTTTGTTTTGGGTTTTGTTTTGTTTTTTAGCGGCTATGAAAGTCAAGAAAGCGGAGGTGCGGGTTTTTTTTTTTTTACCTTGCCGCCCGATTCCATCGTGGTTGAAGCCAGAACCGTCCTCACGTCAAGACTGCTCTGTCGTTCAGAAACTTTCGCGTCCCCGTAGAGGCTTGGAAGGAAAAAAAAAAGTCCCGATTTCCTCGTTTCTGTCTGTGCTAAAACTTGTTTTTTTTTTCACTGACGAAATAAATATATATATATAATGCGGAGTCTAACAGATTAAAATAAGTCCTTTATTGTGTGAGTTATCTTTCCTTTCTTCAGGCAGCCGCCGCGATGATCAAAACTGAAGCGCAAAACATCAGTGGAAAAGCAAAAGAAAGTTTTGATGCGGCTCCTTTATCCTTCCCTGGTCGGGTCGTGTAAAAGCAAACCGGTCCTGAGCTTGAAACTTCTCGTCTGAAATTGTATTTAGGGAAAATAAACCGGGTTTTATGCGTCAAGCCTTCTCGTCGCTGATTGGTTGGCCCAGGGGCTTAGAGGAAGGTGTGAGAGGAGGCCTGCGAGCTACTCGGCCTGTGATTGGTCAATATCCCCCCCCGGGAGGCGGTGTCTTGACAGGCTTAGCCCGTCTTTCACATAGGTAACACTGTCTGCCAAAAAGGGACACATTTTTTTTGAAGACCACAGGAGGACGTGCATGAAGAGAATTAACAAATAAAGCTGGTCTGCTGAGGCATTCGCTTCAAATATAGTTGTAAAAACGAATAGGAATATGAATATTCAGCCGGGGCGGCCCTCGGGTACGGGCGCATCTCCGGAATACAGTTTAGACTTCAACCACAAGTATAAATAAAATAGTAAACTAAAAAGCTATTAATGAAAAATAATAAACAGCTGTAATAATTTCTTTTTTCCCGGCTGACTGTTGAAAAGGCGGTGGTCACGTTTTTGCATACGTATGCCTGCTGCAACTAGCAACAAAACAGCGATTAACAGTAACAGTAATAAGCTTTATTTTAAAACCAGCTGCAGGAATGTCGGCAATTAAAGAGCCACACAGACAGCCAGACAGGGCAGCACTCTGCGTCAATTAAATAAAAGGTATTCTTATCATGTGAGGAAAAACAAGAAACTTGTTTATGGCGATTAAAAGTTCCTCTGGTGCCCGGTTCATCTTACTTTTCTAGTATTTCTTAAGATAGTCCCATTTTTTACTTTGTTGCTAAAGAAAACTAGACAAATAGATCATTAAGTGTTTTTTTTTTCCCCTGTGGTAGAAAAACACTTCCTATTTAAGAATCTCGAGTGATCCATCATTTGTAGAAATCCCCGGTGTAAATGCCTAGGCTGTACAAGCCCTAGACTGCTCCATTAATAATAGAAAAAGACGATGCTGACATTGTATCTGCTCTGAGTAAGGCTATTTTCCACTCAGAACTCTTGAGTGTTTTTCACGTGATCTGCTATCAACCAGTCAGTGTACTGTATTTGTCTATTTGCTTATAGGGAAGTTTTATTAAGAACGTGGGGTAGGTTTTCTATTAGAAAATAAAACGTTTAGCTCTCCCCGGGTCTACTGAAAAAATAACTTTGAGCTTTTGTTTCCTTCAGTAAATTACCTATAAGTCATCCTGGTACTTATCAAGAAGGGTTAGAAACTGATAATCTGGTGTGTCATGTCATCATTAAAGTCTAGTGGGCCTTAAAATATATATATATATTTTAGTTTGCCAGGTCAACAGAAATAAAAGGGGCATGCATCTTTATAAATAAAAAACACTCTCTTTAAGAAGGTAACATTAAGAGGTTTTGCACAAATGGTTTCTACATTTTATTAAGTACAGAAGAGGAAAATGCTAGAAAATGACAACAGCTGCAAGCTCTTTCTCACCTAACCAATTTCCTACTCGAACTTAGTAGGAGAACATAACCTACTAATAATATAACTGAAAAATCCCATTATCTTCGACTGACGTATCGCTTCAGTCTTCAAAAGCAATCAATATATCTGTACAAGAAAGTTACAGGAAAAATTGTTACAAAGGGTAATGTCTTTCCAAGTGTACACAGGAAGTCTTTACAAGCTTACTTTGAAAATGTATGTTACTTTTGGTGTCATGAGTGCAGCATGGTAGTATGAGCAGTTAGCAAAGGTTTCTCACAACTCTTGAGCCCTAGGTTTGATTCCAGATGTGGGTGACTTACTGTATGTGTGGAGTCTGCATGGTCTTTGTTGTTCATAATATTCTGGCTAGTCTAACTGGTGTCTTGAAATTGTTCTTGTGAATGTGAGTGTGTGCCTTCTGAGGAACTGGCATCTTGTCGAGTGTGGTCCTACCTTGTTGGACTGTCCAGAAAAGCGCTATATAAGTGTAAGCAATTATTATTATTATTATTATTATTAATAATAATATTGTATCCCGTGTCCTGGTTATGTACCAGCTGTGAGACACTGCACAGGATGAAGCAGTTAAAGATAAAGACAGGATTTTAATTTTATTTTGAAGGATACCCTGTATTTCTAACTGATATAGTCCAGTTGATACACCTTTGAAAATACAGATCATACACTTTTGGACCTACATTTTTAGTTTGTACATTTATTGAAAACAATTCTGAGATGAAAACTAAAAATCTCTCAGAACTCACACATTCATTCCGTTACAGTGCCCTACAGCCCTGGTGATATCCGCAAGTATTTTGATCAATCTCAAGCAAGTATAAATATTAATCCTCTAATAAAATTTGTCATCAGCCTATTCAAACCATATAGAGCCAACCTGAAGCTAAGTTGGAAATAAAATGGAGGCTGTTACAGGACAGCAGTTGTGGGATTCCTTAGCATGTAGACAACATTTACACAAATTTGTCTTTATAAAGCAAAAATAGTTAGCAGAAGTGTTACCCCGTATACATGTTTTTTCTAGTATAGAAATTCAATTCAATTCAACTTTATTGTCATTAAACTTACACAGTAAGTTTTACTATGCACTTACACAGGTGCATAGTATAATGAAAAGTGTTTCTCATTAGTCACTCAGGTGCAGTATAGTATAATAGAGATGGTAAAGCGTTATAACTTAGCTTTTCAAAGTAAGAAATTTTACATTCCGCTAGGAAGCAGCTCAAACTAAGTGTAATGAGCTTCTGCATTTGCTTTAAACACAATGTAGCCAACTTAACCTAAAAGCATCAGGATTCTGATCATATTCATCTGATGAAGAAGAAGACAAGATCACAACAGAATCACCTTTCATCGACCGGTGTGCAAGGAGGTACATAAATCCACGTACCGCTACTTTAATTCTGAGAATATTCCCGGAACGGGAGGCTTGAGAAAACGAAAAATCTGGGAGAGCAGAGCAAGAGTAAGGGTGTAGATGGATAAGTGCCCTGTGGAACAATAGCTTAAAGCCAAACTAAAGTCCGAAGAAAGCCTGCAGTGGGGGCAGGGTGGGTTAGTGGCTCCTTTGTTGTGTTTCTTTCGACCTAAAAGGAAATTACAGGGAGGGGCCAGTTTTTTTCCAAAGGACATCACAGATTGCGTTCGGCACTCAGTCTGGGAGCCCTTGCTACACATGCACACAGAGACATTTTACATCATGACCGTGAGTCCACCTGCTCTGACAAAATGATTTGCAGCATTTAGTAATAACTGAAGGATACAGCAATTCATGTCATGAAGTCATTCGTCCCAGCAAAGAATACACACAGATTCTGTCCTGCAGGAACAAAAACCATATTGTTAAACCCTTCACTTACCAGAGCTAAAAGATGTTTGACTGTCTGTAAAGTAATTGATGGGGTAGTGTACGTAATGTCAATTTACATAATAGAAATGTGCGTCTTTGGAAAACAGAAGGTTACAAAGTGGAAATTGATATTAAAGTCATAAGATATGAAGTCCAAGTCCAGAACTTTATACAATGTACCAAGCAGTCTATGTGATGGCTACATCCTGCAACACTATTGTTCAACCATCCGCTATGTCAGATATGGAGGAAAGGTTGAGTTTTAGATGGGGGTGAGTGGATAGTACTTCTTCATTCATTCTGTGCTGTTATGTTTTAATTTATTTGGGTTGTACAAAACAGGTCGCCTGTTTACTTTGTAGTGCTGAAGAAACAGAATCAGTTAGCTACTTGACCTACAGTACTTCACTGTGAAGATCAGTGCAAGATCCCTTTTCATTTACCATATTTTCTTATTTATTCACAGATTTTCAATATTCTGCAGAAGGCGTAGTCAAGCGAACTACTTTTAGCAATGAAACAAATGTTTCATGCATGACATTTTAAATCAAACTGTTTACAAGCAGTATTATGACTCACCATTTTATGTTGACTTTTTTTCATGCCTGTTGCAGTTATTCAGTCAAGAATATTTCTTTTCATATTCCATCTCTTCCTCTTTGCCTCTTTCACCCACGTGCACACCAGCACTAAAAAGACAGCTATCTGCACAGCACTGTCTGAATAATTCATGACTAACTCATGACATGTTCTCACAGATAAAAGCTGCCTTATACTGGGATATCTATAAAGCCAACCAGAACTACGTGTTGCTGTAAATAATCCATCACCCTGATATACTGTATATAGCTCCAGCACAACTTGCTCCCAATTAAGAATCTTAATTTTAAAATGCTTGTGGGGTAAACTGTACATGCACTGCTCTCTGTCAGCAGCAGTTGTTAATGCTTTGAGATAAAAACACCGATAGCTGCAGGAACAAAATAGTAAAGCCTCCTTATCTCTCTTACATTTGACAGTCCCAAAGCACAGTATTTTTTTACATTTACCTGAAACACCTTTTAATTAAAATACCTGCTATAGAGTTTAATACATGCTATAGAGATTAATTTTGTGATATGAACTTGGAAAACATCTGCTAACCCATTACAGCACAAGTAGGTTTTATTTGTGTTGGCACATTATTAGTAGTGTTAGTATTAATATTATTAGAAAAGTAGAAAAGATCAAACCAAGCATGAGTAAAAAGTTACTTTGGGGATGTACTGAACTCAATGGCCTAAAAAAAGTTCCAAGTGTCCTGAAAATGGAATGAGTGCACTTAAACTCTGCAAATTAAATGGCTAAGATCATAAATACTGTATTTCTATGTTGCTGTCCCACATTGCTGGCAGTTGAATAATTTAGCTGACTGCATGCACACCCCCTCACTTGGACTTACGGAATTTCACGGCATTTCCCTACCAGGATGTGCGCGTTCAAAAGCGCGTTCCTGCTTGGAAAGTATGAAGGAATATTTCTTGACATTCTTTTTTTAAAAAGAATCCTGAGTATGATTACTCAGCTGCAGCATGATTAAAAACATCAGGGTGCACATCTTTTGCCATTTCCAGTTTACTTAAACTGCCTGATCATTGTGAATCAGTGTATTTATTCAGATTTTACGAGAAACCATGGAAAACCATGGTCTGTATACAGAAACAGCCATCAATTAAGGT